TCTGGTGGAACCGACCTTCGAATCTCTTCACCCAACACTTCTACTCGAAATGGAAGTAAGCTCAACAATGGCTGCATACAGCCAGAATTAGTCGTCCTCTTCTAGTGAGATCGAGCTACGAATCTCTTCTTCATGCACTTTCATACGAACCGAAAGTTTCCCCAACAATGTAATCCTAGGGGATTCATTGCAACCCAATTACTCTCCACATTCCACGAGGTACATTTCTGTCTAAACTCAGATGTATGAGACAGTCCGTTTTGGTTTAACCTCATTTTATCCCACAGCGACCGACTCACCCGAGCCACGAGAGGCGAGCTCCGGAGGGGAGCAAGACGAGCCACAGCTACTGACGAGGGAGGCGTGCGAAAAGAACCTGTTCTCGACGTTCGACCTCACCTCGAGCCCGGCGTCAGAGCCGCCGTCGGCTTGTGACCGTCTCGTCGTGACGCCCATTTTAACGCTGTCTCCGCCATGGCCGGCAACATTGAGCCCGATAGACGCGGGTCGCTTGCTCCTTCGTCTCGAGCCGTCGTCCGAGTCCCGGAGGCCCGACTCTGCCTCTTCCCTGATGGTCTCGCCATGGCGACGACGACGTTTTCTCTGCTGCGGCTGTGATGCCCGCCTAAATCCGAGACAGCCATTGCCCAGCCTGACGTCACCATGGCAACCGTCCGTCTTCGAGTCAGCCATGCATGTGGCTGTACCGCTATCGTAGCATTGACAAGGCTCGTTAGCTTCCCTTCCGGAGGACCCGAGCGGCTCTGAGCAGTCGAGCTTGTCCCCTTCGCCCCTTCGTTGCCCCTTCTCCCTCGCCTTCTCATCCTCCTCCTCTTCAGCCTTACCCTCCTTCCTCTCCTCCTCCTCCTCCTTCTCCCCCCTCTCCTCCTTTTCCTCCTCCTCTTCCTCCTCGTAACCTTCATAGTCCTCTTCCTCCCCGTCTTCGTCTTCATCTTCTCTTCCATCCTCATCTTCCTCCTCCTCCTCTTCATCTTCATCTTCTTCTTCTTCTTCTTCTTCTTCTTCTTCATCTTCATCATCGTCTTCTTCTTCAATCCTATACCTCTTCTTCCGCAAGTCTGCATGGGACGGCTTTCGACGCTTTCTGCCGTCCTCCTCGCGCTCCGTCTTTCGGCCCTTGCGGCCACTCGCCGGCACACTTGCCCGGCCCTCCGGTGTCTTCATGGCACCGGCGCCTGGGCTCGCGGTCTCCAGGTGGGCAGTATCGGTGGCGTCTTGGCTGATATCAGCCGGAGTGCGAGAGGCGAGCTGCAGTTCCCGCTGGTCCTGGCCGAGCCAGCCTCTTCGAGCAGCTCTTTCCCTCTTGGCCCGAGTGCTCCGTGAACTCCGACTGTTCACACAACACTGCCGGTTTGGGTATTCGTGTTGATGCTGATGCTGATGTTGTCGTTTATGGTGCAGCTGTTGTACCCGCCTCTGCTCCGTCTGTTGCTGGCATCGGTCATTCTGGTGGGGATGTTGCGCTTGCTCTTGCTGCTGCTGATGAAGTTGATGC